GTTTTCCTCTTGTATAATATATCATTTTATACCGGACTTTGAGCCACTGTTCCACTTCGTAGCTAATTTCTTGTTCGCTTGCAATACTTGCATATTCTAATTTCTTTGCACCAATAAAGTTCGCAAGTTCATTTCAGTGTTTGAACTTTGTTTTTTATTAATAATTTGTTCCTCACTGTACAGAGCAATGCACTGTACATGTTTGTTTTACAATTATTCAGTTCACTTCAGGAGTCCCAAGGATGATTTCACGAAAATCAGAACATTAGCGCGGACCCTGCATCAACAGGCTCTCAGAAACAGTACATTAAGGAATAGTGGATTTCAGACGGAATAGTAAATATAAAAATCTACTATTCCGGCTGTATAGTACAAAAAAAATTTAAATTTCGACCCCTGACGATGAATAATATTTAATGAAGCTGAGACAAAGGATTTGTGCATGGTGAGGTACAGTTCAACATCAAACAAAGATCTTCTATTTTGTGGCTTTGAAGTTTGAACAAATAGAGCAACAATACCATAACCCTAGGGACAAGTATTCCCATTGGGATGAGTCAATGGTTTTTCAATTCTATTTGCCCCGCTTTGCAAGATGGCAAACACGGCGTTTAGAACTTACAGGAACTTCTACAGACTGTTCGTTTGGATCAACAGGGCATTTAAGCGGAGTCGGTCTTGACGTCACATACATCATACTGGCAGCGGCTACTGCTGCAAGGCTGGCGAGTGTCGTGGGCTCACTGAGAAACTTTAAGACGTTTTCACTTGACATCTGATGCGCTCACGTGTTTCTATACAGGAAAGAGAAAAAATTAGAATACTTATTGCATGCTTGAAATGTTCAAAAATAGTTACAGGCGAATATTATTACAATGATATAGTCACCCTTTATCTGAGAAGTGATGATACATGAGGCAAATATAACAAGCTATTATATTGTATATTGTGCTCTCATTAACGACACGCAAACCTGTAGTTAATACATAGAAGTATAAGTATAATGAGTAAAAGTGTTCAAATCGCGTATAACTGCAGAAAAATCTGCTCTTTTATATGGCTGTGTCATGTAAAAGCAGATTTTTGAGTCACACGCTTTATGGACAGTACGTTTACAGTGAGAGAGAGAGGATCTTAGGCGTTGAAAAACAATTTAAAACACGCAACTAAATATCAGATCTTTGTAATTTTCCTACAAAGAGTCTTTTGATAAAGTTCTTGATAAGAATATTCGCGCACATGCATATTCCCACACGAAAGAAGAGTTACATCTTAAATGTTGCATCAGTTTAATGCTGCATCGATTGTGGATATAAACCTTGACTGTCTCAAGCAAGACTGAGGAAGATCGGGTATCTTTGGTGCCTTTGCAGCCATTATAAATACATTCTCTTCTACTATACTGCAAAAGACTCGCCAAGACAGAAAACGAGTTGATTGTCTGTTTATGGCCATTTAGAGACACGACACAAGTTATTTCTCAAAGAAGAAAAAGATTTGGTTTTACAGACACGCTAAGGAGTAAGGTAACATTGACTACATAAAAAGATTTCGAAAGTTTTATACGTTGAAAATTATCGTGTTTCTAAACAGTACTTGGACTCAAAGTACAAAAGAATTCAAGGATAGCAACTAAACGAACTGTTTCTGTTTGTACCAATTAAAACATTGTCAGTCATTGAGTACAAAAAGACTTTGAACTGAAGTTAATTGTCGCCATTCAAGAGAAATATAATTAATTGTGCCATTCCTGTTTATGAGCATTATAAGTGCAAAGATGTACTTTAACGTATGTAAAGTTACATCCTTGCTTGTCTTGATAATTTGTTGCGTGTTCAAAGTTGCACAATGCGAAAACATCGACCTTGATGAACGTAAGATGACTTCAGACGCTCAAATTCATGAAAATGACGACTTATTCTCAGTGAAACGATCATTTAACGAAGCCAACATGGTAAGATTTCGAAGGGCAGCAAACTCCAAAACTAGAGAAAGATGTGAGATGGCCTCTCAATGCACAGGCAACGAAACATTGTTCGAAACAACCAGCACGTACTACAATTGTCATTGTGATAACGCGTGCTACGAAACTTTTCAAGATTGTTGTCCTGATTTTGTTAAAACTTGTGGCGAACAGAGAAAGGCGACCGGAAAAAACACTAAGTCGTTATGGAAATGCGTAGAACTCGACAGATCGAATTTAGGACGCGGCGGTTGCTTTCTGAGGGGACCGGTAGGGATTTGGATGATTACAAACTGTTCTAGTAGGTGGCCTTTTGATGAAACTCGAGCAAAATGTGAAAATGCTTCAGAAAAATTCTCCTATCCCGTGGAAGATTTTTTACCAGTTGTTAGTAAACATGGATTCACATATAGGAATAAGTTTTGTGGTGTATGTAATGGGGAACAGACCTATAAAACCTGGGATGTTGTCATAAGAGGGTTTATAACACCTCCAGAGCGGTACAATATAGATGAGAGAATACGTTTCGCGTTGGCAAACCAAGGGTATATACAGAATATAGTACCTGGGGTGGAATTGGCGCGTCGTTATTGCGCTGGGGCAAAGTACACAGACAGTTGTTCCAATACGACACACCCGGATTATACGAAGTGTAAAGGAGGTCCGGTTGAAACGGTGGGGAGTCCATTTCGGGGATATTTTAAGAATGACGCTTGTGCCTTTTGCAATGGCGACAATAGACTTGTAAAGGATGAGGAAAGGTCATTTCGGGTATGTGGTGCTCCTGGGCTTTCCCAAGGCTTATCGATTGTTTTCAACAGGGATAGTAGAACTAAAAGTGAATCAACTGTCACTCGAGTCGTGGAAAAATATTGCCCCCAGGGGCTAGTTTATGATGACAACTTAGAATACTGCCGTGAGGGACTGGTGACGAATACGAATGATACTTTATCGGATGTATTTTTGATTGCTCTGTGGTTTGAACAAGGCGCTATTAAATTTCCGACCCTGCTACCGTTCAACCCCTTCGTGTTTCGAAGAGGTTTGGGACCTATACCTAATATTAAGAATATTACTGGACATTTGAAGTCAGCGTTGCTCAAGAAATTTGCTTTGAAATCACGCCAGGTCGCAGAGCTTAAATTCCATCGACAGAACTTTGCGAGTACGTTTTTGGTGGCAACATTTCGCCTTACGCTAACGCCATATCAAGAATTTATACTGGCCAATGAAAACAATACCTCGAATTTAAATATCTCAACTAAATCTCAAAGGTTTCTCGGACTTTTGAAATTTACAACAAATTTTACAATGACTTCGGGAAAATATCGTTTCCCTGTTGTGAAATTAGTTTCTAGACAACTGGCTTGCTACGAAGGGAAAATGCTACAATCACACGAATATGAAATCGAAAAAATTTCTGGAAATGTGTTTCAGAATACAACCGGAAAAACATTTTCCCGAAACGAGTATGCAATTCTAGGAAAGATTGGCGGGAACATCACACTTTGTCGAAAATTGCTGCTTTCTGGATGTCACAATGGCGCTTTTGTAACGCTCAATGAATCTGAGTTTTTCATCTATCAAAATTTATCGATTTTTCACTACGCGACGAACGGGACGTTTAATTTCGGGGACTACCAAATTAGCGAAGGTGGCACTTCTAATCGTACTGGTTTGGAATCATTCCAAAATGCATCTTTCCCAAAAAATTCAACAATCGCCGTTTGCTTACCATTTCGCGGGACTTTTAACACAACCGAAAAAATTGCTACGAAATCGGACGCAAATTATCCATTGAGAATTTTAACGGTTATTGGGTTTAGTGTTTCAGTAGTGTTTTTGATACTTTTATTGGTGACATATGGGATTTTTAAGGAATTGCGGACTCTGCCTGGGTTAAATTTAATGAGTCTGGGTATTTCTATGTTGCTATCGCATCTGATATGGTTAATTGGAACGGCAAAGTTTCAGGATACAAAAACTTGTGAAGTTTTAGGAATAATTGAACATTATTTGTTTTTGGTAACATTTATGGCTATGAGTGTAATATCATATCATTCTTGCGTTGTATTCTCGCAACCATTTAATGGAAACTCCAATAAATCTCTGGCAAGATTTGGCAAATATTCAACAATATCTTGGCTAATTCCTGGAATATTTATCGCCGTGTGCATCGCTTTGGATCAATCCGAAACAACCTTTGATATTTATGATACTACATGTTGGTTATCAACCGATGAGGCGGTGTTGTATCTTTTCTTATTACCCGCTGCGGTGCTGTTATTGTGTAATATCTACACCTTCATCAAAACTGCTGTGGCCTTATCTCGCTACAACACGGATATGCAAATTTTACAAAGAGATCGCAAGCAGAATGTTATTGTTTGTATAAAACTTGCTACCTTGGTAGGATTCCCATGGCTGTTTGCGTTTTTTGGTGTGGTTTTCCCCGATATCGAGGTTTTTGAATATCTGTTTGTGGTTTTCGCGTGTTTACAAGGATTTTGTATCGGCGTGGCGTTCGTGTGCAATAAGAAGACACTTCAGCTTTATAAGAAATGGTGGAAAAGCGGCAATAAAGTCAGCGCTGAATCAGACCCCAGAAATCAAACATTTCAAATGTCGTAGACATAGATATCTTATATACACTAGATAGCGCATCTCTTTTAGTAAAATTGAAGCCAAGAACATTCCAGCGGTTACCCCCATTTGAATAGATGGCGGCCATGTTGGAGTTTCCCACTCGCTAATAAACGCTTAAAAACAACAATAACTTTCATCATTTGAATAGTTTGAAAATGTCTTTGGAGTAGGTTTAACTTAATGTTTAAGTTCCCTGTTTAAGAAATAGAAAACATACGAGTCTTCTCATTTCATGGGATTATCCTGAGTCTGCAATCACGGCGGCTTCAATTTTTGAATTGCAGAAAATTAGATGCACTATCTAGTGGAAACCATTGATCTCTATACGACACAGCATGGCAAATGATTATGCCAAACACTTAGTCATTGACCTCAATAAAACACATGGACTACACTTTATTCTGAGCCTCTGACCTCAATATATTTATGGACTACACCTCTGAACAAATTCACAATTGCTCTGAACCACTGACTTCAATATATATTCATGGACTACATCAGTGACTACATCTCCAAAAAAATAAACAATTGTCTCTCTAACAACTGAGCTTAATATATTCAAGGACTACTAAAATTTCTTGTAAATGTAAATCAAAAGTGGATCTAGGCTCAGTTGACTGACAAGGTACACAGTTTTCAGGGGGGAGGGTGTGGCCTGGTGCATAGGTTTCAGGCGGGGAAGGTGTATAGTTTTCACCCTTTGACCATGAATGCACTTGTTGATGGGGGGGGGGGGGGGG